CAACGGTCAGGTACCTACATCGATGTTCATTACTTGAACATCGCTGTTTAGGTCTGACTTTGAAGGTGGAAAGTTTGGCCTGACAGCGCTGTTGCTGGGTCAACATCGCTGTTCAAAAACTTTCTGCCAGAGGCATTTCTTTTTGGCTTAGGTTGGACAGCGATGTAGGGTAGTCTACATCGCTGTTCCAGATGTTTCTAGAAACCCAACCTTGGCTCAACAGCGATGTCTAACATCCAACATCGCTGTTGGAAGACTTAACGCCAAACCATGGTTTTCAGCCACCCAAGCCAGACAGCGCTGTTGGTTTCACCAACATCGCTGTTGGGCTAGTTTAGCCAGACCCATGGTTGGTTTAGTCAGCCGTTAGCCGATGTCAAAAATGTAAATTCTCCAAAATGAAAACCAAGTATTGAAAATGTTTGTTTAATGCATTTTGCTAAGAAATAAAGTAAAACATTTTAAAAACCATGTCATTTAAATGAAAACCACGGCTAACCAAGTTTGCGCTGTTTCGCATTGTTTTCACTAAACGACCAAAAACAGAAGGTGGTTTTTGAAGCGTTTTTGTTGGAGAACTATTTAAACATGCCCAGAAGTAAAAACCAATCATTAAAAGTTGAAAACCACTTGGTTGGTTCGGACGCCAAAAACCAACGCTGATAACCAAAAGCCGAACGCCGGTTTCCAAAGACCGAACGCCGGATGGCTTGGTTTTTGGTTTGGGCGAACTCCAAGTGTTTTTAGGCAGGTTTAATACTTAAGAAAATCATTTTGAATATGCAAAAAGTATTTTGATGAAATGAGCCTAGAGAGCCATGTTTTGAAAGTTTGTGCCGGTCTTGATCACATTAAAACCGACTCAATATAATTCTAAGTCTTCGTTCTTGATTCTTGGTTCTCAGTTCATCATGCCATGTTCCTTCGCCTTGGTTTTGCTCAGTTAACTTTGTTATTGTCACGGCGGTTTGGCATTATCAAAACCTCTCATAAAACGAACACGGCTTAGTACGACATAGGCGTAAACCCGTGTTCCAACACCTGACACGGACAATCACTTCTATTAGCACTATCAATTCTTTCCCAAAAAACAAAAATATTCTAATGGTTGAATATATTTCATCTTTTTTCTTTGAAAGCTTCTCATGGCTTCAAGGATTTGTTTGTTACATAATGCAGGCTAACGTTGAACCATTAGAAGATAGCTACCAAGTAGATGTTAGTGGGGAAGCCACACCTGATGTTATTGTCAATGAATTTGTATGTTTGAAACTTCTATTATTGTTTTCAAATTTTGATACGTTATTCTGCAATCATACCTGCATGCCATCTAGTTTAGGATATTCATTCTATAATATGTTTTCATTTTTCAAGTATGGATATAGAACAACTATTAGATTGGTTGTGCTTTACTTTATGGAAACTGCCCATACAATGGATTTGGGCAAGATTTTCCTATTCTTGAAAACTTAACTCTTGAACTTCTAGGAGACTATTGTTCTGTTCGAGCAATTTTCAAAAGTTCATAAACACACTTGGTCTCTCTAATCCGTTAGGTCGTAGTATGAGGTTAAATCATATATATCAAAACTGTCCATTGATTGTTGAAGGACATCAATTCTCTGCCAATCTTGTCGAATTACTGTACAAAGAATTTGACATCATCCTCGGAATGGATTGGCTTAACAAGCACCAAGCAGTTATCGATTGCCGACAACGAACGATTCAACTAAAGTCTGGAGAGGGAAAGTCTATAAAGGTGAAAGAGAATCTAACACCTAAATCCACTGAATTCATCTCGTACATACACGCTAGACGTCTCATTCGAAAGAAATGTGAAGCTTACCTGTGTAATGTACGTGACACACGAAAGGAAACTCCTGAGTTGAAAGACATACCGACAGTAGGTGGTTTTTCTGACGTATTTCCTGACGAACTCCCTGGTATACCATCCTCCAGAGAAGTAGAATTTTCCATCGATCTTGTTCCTGGAACAGGACCGATATCTGCAACTCCCTATCGCATGGCCCCTGCTGAAATGAAAGAGTTGAAGGCTCAACTACAAAAACTGCTCGATAAAGGATTCATACGTCCGAGTGTTTCCCCTTGGGGAGCACCCGTTTGTTGGAACACGGGTTTACGCCTCCGTCGTGCTAAACTGTGTTCGTCTTTATGACAGGTTTTGATAATGCCAAACCGCCGCTACATATCGAAGCTAAAGTGAGCAAAACTAAGGCGAAGGAACATGGCATGATGACTTGAGAACCAAGAACCCAGAATCAAGAACGAAAAACTAGAATTGTATTCAGTCGGTCTTAATGTGATCAAGACCGGCACAAAATTCCAAATCTTGGCTCTCTAGGCTCAATTCATAAAAATCTCTTTTACATTTTCAAAAATATTTTTCTTAAGTTTTAAACTTGGCTCAAAACACTTGGAGTTCGCCCAAGCCAAAAACCAAGCCATCCGACGTTCGGCTTTCAGAAACCGGCGTTCGGCTTTCGGTTTTCGGCATTGGTTTTTTGGCGTCCGAACCAATCAAGTGGTTTTCAACCTTTTAT